CCGTTGCCGCTCATCGTAGTGGTGACCAGACCCTAAAGACTGGGAGGTTCGTCGTGGGTTCGCGCCACGGTCGGACAGGCTGGCTGCTTGGAGTTTTCCGGGTTTTCTCCTTGCCTATAACGACTGAATAGGAGGCCAGTTCCCCATAAAAGTCCTCCCGGAAGGCATTTATTTCCCGCGCGTACGTATGGCTGTTCGATACAGCCGGCTAATCGGTCGCCTAGCGATCATACACATACACAAGTCTACTCGGAGAAAGAGCCTACATTGAGCTAAAATCTCCATATCAACACCATCGAAAGAAGAAGAAAGAAGAAATCGGGAATACTAGAGAGCGAAAGAAGTACTACAATCTCGAAAACGAACTCGAAGTCTTCCAGGCTACAAGTGAAAAAAAAAAAAAACACATAACATCCGTCTTCTCATAAATGTATTAAAGACGATTCCACTAACATTAATTAAATCGGAAAGGACATTCTCGGTAGCGGGACTTTTAATTACTAAAATATTAAAATCTTATTATAAAAATTTATAATAATATTTTGTATTATGTTTTGTTTAAAAAACGAAAATTACCTTTTAAGTTAGAAGTTTGATCTAAGTTCATTTCTTTTTTTTTTTTTAATTTTCAACTTAATTCAAAGCATTTGTTGTTGTTGTTTTATGCAGTTTCCAGCAAACTTTAATAAATTTTTTCTATTTGTGAAAATTTCTACGTAATTAAAAGGTAATTTTTAATCAATATATATCTTATACAGCATTATTAATATGATTTTGGAGGTTGTAGAACGTATTAAATTACTTTAAAAAACGAAAAATAATTATATTAATCCCGGGACAAATAAAAGACCGGAAAATGAGAAACCCCAGTCCCCGCCAACCGAAACCGAAACGCTATAATAAATAGAGACTGGCTCAGACCACCTGCACGAAATATAACCAAATTTATCGAGACCGACAAGTTCTTTATCTACACTTTCTCAAATATTGTCTTTCTATTCGTTTGATTTCAATTTTAATTTTAGTTTCGGTATAAAGGCCATTTTTAATTGTTATTCTTAGTTTAATGGGTTAATTAACTGGCTATAGTATATGTCTATATTAATATTATAATGTAATAATATAAGCCAGGAATGGGCAACCTTTTTCTATGTAAGGACCGCATTTTGAAACTTTCGAAATGACACGGGCCGCATAACAGAGAAAAGAGAAGAAAAATGCCGGTAAATCACATTTCTAAAATAAATACTAAATCGAAATTATAACCAGGGCTGTGGAGTCGCGTAAAAATCTACCGACTCCGACTCCGACTCCGTTTCATATACATAACAAGTTGGTAAGTAAACGGGAGTCGGAGTCGGCGGATTTTTTGATGACTCCGACTCCGGCTAAAACACCAAAACTCCACGACTCCGACTCCACAGCCCTGATTATAACATAAGTTACGATATTAGTCAAACTTCATCTGTTATCCCAGATTACGCGTAATCGCCTCTTATAATTTAAAAATAAGTAACAATATAATTAAAAATCATGATTTTATTTCTTTTTTTTATTGTTTACATTAGTATATTCACTTTAATTAGCATGCTAAAAACATTATAAAACGAAACAAAAAAAAATTTATTAAATTCTGATGTCTATGAAATTCAATAAGTTTTAAAAAGACATTTTTTTCATAAATATTATATATATATATATATTATTTTCGTTGTATTCTGTTTATTATTTATGAAAAACGACACGCAGTTAATTATCTCTCAATAAAATATTTTTATTCTCCAATAGAAACAAAATTCCCGTTAATTTTGTTTGTATATCAGCAGCTCCCTCTGCATTCTATATTTTAGTGACGTCATTCTTAAAATTTAAAAAAAATTCTTTCATTTAGAATTAATATATTTAAAAAAATAATTACAATTTAAACATTTCTAAATATATCACAAAAAAAAAAAATATGTCATCGGGGAGTGAGTTAGACTAAAAAAAAAGTTATCTTTTACATAACGTTTGTTCATTACGTCACTTCGTACGTGTTGTGTCTTGAGGAGGTAAATCAATAAAACATCTCGTCGTCACGCTTTCCAGTTATTTGAATCGGCGAGAGGAGACGTAAAAGAATTATGGCCGGCCTCCGTCCTTTACAGATTTTAATATGGAAAAATTGGATTATTCACAAACGGCATTATATTTGGAGTATTTTTGAATTGCTTCTACCTCTTTTGTGTTCTTTTATTCTTGTTTGCATCGCTTCGATAATACCGGCTTCGGTCGACTTCAGAAGCCAAGATACCGACAGTTCTGGTGTTAAACACGTAAACGTGACAATATACTCTCCGTACAATCTTCAAGAATATTATAAAACAATTCGCAAAAAGGATACGTTTCTTTTTGCACCGAATAACAGCGCTACCCGCGAACTGATGGAAAATGTTTTCAAAGAAAAAGAATTACGTAAGTGCGTTTTTTCGCTTTTTCTTACCCTTTTAATAATTCTTATTCTATTTAAAAATTATATAAAACTTGCATGCGTAATTAAAAAAGAAACAAGTAATTTTAAAGCAAAAACAAAAAAAAAAAAAAAAAAAAAGGCACTTGATTGACTGTGTCAATAATAAAACAAATCTATATCTATGTTAGATACCATCTGTTCTAATAGAGATTTACGAATAAATTATCTTCAATAGGTCAACTTATTCCCTCATTTTGTATTGTTTATTATTATTATTTTTTTTAGTAAAAATATTTGATAAATATTTTATGCCCTATATGAGTATTAATATTTTATAAAGTTTAAACGATTTAAAAATTCCGTATAATTTATTTTCACTCGCTTAAATTTTTTATATCGTTCCAGAAAACGTACTGTATATCGATAAATCGTGTATATGTATGTATATATATATATACAGTAAATACAGTACGGCACATAACTAGTACTGTACTGTTAAAAACAGTTCTATGTATAGGCCTAATTTACTCGTTATATTGTCTTTTTAATACGTGATTCGTTAAAAACTCGAAAATAAACAAATAACGCAATTTATTGGAGTGATTTGAATAAATTTGCTGCAGTACTTTAAACTAAAGTACTTTAATAAATTGATTTAGTGGTGTACTTTTCAAAACACGAGTAAAATACTTTTAAATTTATTTATGTTTTTTATTTATTGGGCTGTAATTTTCAAATCATAAAACTATAAAATCCCACTGTCATCCCACTTCGTTAATTTTTTTTTTGAGAAAGGAGTTAGAGAGACGATAATCGAGACTAGGTTTAGAAGCCGGAGGCTCAGATTAATTATTTTAAATTAAAATATAATTAAAAATTGGAGCCCGCCTACTATATGTCTAGGTCGCAACTAAGACATCGCGCAATTTTGTCGTATCGCGATAGAATTCAGGCGGATCAGGAAAGAAAAAAGCGATCCTTACTCTTATTAGGCACAGAACAGGCAGTCTTTGTAACTGATGGTCACTCGCTTCCATAAAAGAGGCTACCCTTGTATCTATAAATGTGGTTAGAGCATTTGGCACTAGGGTTTTTTTTTTTAACTCTTTCCGCCCTGTGGGCGGAAAGAGTTAAAAAAAGCCTTTTTGCAAGCCCATTATTGGTTGGGCCAGGCCCACAATACGGCTGCCGGGTGGTGAGGGATGGGGCCCGACATATCTGAACGGACCACCCCCGAAAAATTCCTGGGGATTTTTTCGACCCGTTCGGATTCGAACCCGGGTCCCCCAGAGCGGTGGGCTATCACCTTGACCGCTCGGCCATCCGGCCGCTAGGCACTAGGGGTAAACTAAAATATGGCGCCTTTCGGTTAAGCCTTTCATTAGTCTGTTACAAATTTAAAAATTATAAAATTACTTTTATAATATGCATAATGCTTATTATATTTCATAATATAATGTTTTATACACGTGTGTGGCAGTTTTCTATGAATTTATTCGTTCGCCCATGTAACAACTTTGGAATTTTGCCACTCTATTGTCTTGGTTCCCCAAGCACGTACCCCGTCTGTCATTGCCTTTCCACGACCTGCTTGTATATACAAGCAGGTCGTGGAAAGGCAATGACAGAGAGAAAGATCGCATCTCCATAGTTGCAAAGAGCGCATCTCCATAGTCGCCAGTGGAAAGATCGCATCTCCTATGGTATGCCAACCATGGGAGATGCGATCTTTTCACTGGCGACTTTTCACTTTCCATAGGTTACGGTGAGACGATCCTTGCAAGGACAAAGTAATCGCAAATCGATGGGGCAATTGCTTTGTCCTTGTATTTTGTTCGTTTTTCGCCCCTGTTTTCCGTAAGGCGCATTCAATGATGTTTTTACTTTTCTTACCTAAATTCCGTTACATTTCTTATCTAAATTCCGTTAGTGACAACGTCCATACACCCTGACGCTCAACCGCATCAGGGAGTATGGATGTTGTCACTTTGATTCCACTATATATCGAAAATGAATTCATAGACCTTTATTTTTTACATTTAAATGGACCCTTATTACATTTCTAGATTCCATTTTTGGATTCCTTGCAATTTTCCATCGCAATTAATGGAAAATTGCAAAGTTTTCTCAAAACTGGCTCATCGAATTTTGAGAACGAACTTAATTCTATAAGCTTGTAGAAGACGCGCTAACGATCTTGAGCGATAGTAATTTATTTTTATTGAGGCGGAGAGTTAGCGAAGTCTCTTCCACACGCGTTACAGAACTGTGTTTGTTCTCAAAATTTGATCGATCGATTTTTGGTTAAACCTTGCCATTCTCCATTAGCCTAATTGTGATGATATGAAATTCAAAGATGTAATAAAAAAATGCGAGTTCGTGACTTTGTGTTCGAGATAAGCCTACAGTGGGTCAAAGTGACAATGTCCATGTTCCCTGATGCCAAAAACGAACAAAACAATCGATGACGAGAGAGTTCAATGATCGTCTGTCCGCGCCTGGGGAACGACTCATCTGTTTCCAGCAGCAGTCGCAAGGTTAGGATCTTCGTGGTCGACAAATGTAAGGAATGCCTTCTCCTGTGGCCAGCAATTGTTTTATTCTACACGCACGCGAGCACACATGCCCTTACATACACATTGAAACACGTGTTAGAGGTTCGGATAGATGGAGCGAAAGATAATTTATATGTAGTGTCGGGATAAAAATAGTTTGTCATGCGATTTCTCGCGCTTTTCCATTCGTTCGACGAATGACAGTTGTCGCCACAGAAACGGCAATCGTACCACTTTTGAAGACTCGACCGCTGATTGGTTGAGAGATATCGCACTATCAGCGGACGTCTTGTAGCGCTGCTAAGCGCTGATTGGTGGAATTCAATTCTTTTTCAATCCTATAAAAGGATTGAGTTGTGGCGGGAAGTTCAGTTCACCGTGGACTCGAACTAAACTCTAAAGTCCTTTACAGCCCAACGAGACGAGACAAGCTTCGGGACCAGCTTAGGCGAACTAAGACCAAACGTGAGTCCACGGTGAACTCTGAGTTTACATTAAGAAATGACGATTATTTCAGTTTAATAAAGGCATCGATTAATGCATCCGTCATATTCTTGAATAAAAAAAAAAAAAAAACGAATAAAATGCGTCTTTAGACAATCCCATTAAAACAGTTTTTTTTCTAAATTTTTTGTCTCAAAATAGGGGTGCGTCTTATACTTAACAGCGACTTATACTCGTCAAAATACGGTATATATCGTTTTGAATTTAAATGGCGTATCTGGTATTTTGAACTTTACTTGTACTAATACTAATTAAAAAAAATTTTTTTTTAATTACAAAAAACGAAATGCTTTGCGTCAATTCTATCGCGATACGACAAATTCGCGCAGTGCATTTTAGTATTTAATAATCATAGAGTTATTGGTTATCTGTATGGTAAACATAAACTAAATTTTATGTAGTTATTAAAATTTAATTAATTAATTAATTAATTAATTGCTGATAATTTACTATCAGTAATTAAATTTTAAAAACTTCATAAAATTTAGTTTTTGTTTTTAAATTATCATTACAAAATAGAGTATTAAGAGCAAAATAAATTAACATTTTTAATACCTTTCTTCTGATAAAAGAACATACGAGTTTAATTTCTTAATAATCCAATTATCTTCGTATCGGTTTTATGTATTTTGGATATGTAAATTCTACAATATGTACGATTAATATATCCCATTATTAAGGCCTATATAAATAAAATAATAATATGTATAGGAATTATTTAAAAGTATAAGTAATGTTTGATATACCAGGTATATAAAATCATTTTATATACAGTTGACCCCCTATAACACTGTTGATTTTTCCGTTTTATATGAATTTCATGTTGTAAGAGTCACTTAGATTTTACAAATACGTGAGCCGTTCACAGCCCGGCACACGTATTTGTAAAATCTAAGTGACTCGTACAACTTGGAATTCATATAAAACGGAGAAATCAACAGTGTTATAGGGGGGGTCGACTGTATATATATAACTTATATCAGTGTACTGTATATATATGAGGCATATAAGCTATACCGACCATGAAAGTTTTGTCTGTCTTTTTGTATTGATGCAATATTGTATTCTATAATCTAATTGTGCAGACACACCCAAAAAATGAAATACATCAATAAGTTTTTAAATCATGTAATTATTTGTCTTAAGCTTTGTCCTCCTGGAAAATTTTTGCCGACACCCATGGTATGTCTATTTATTTTAGTGATGTTACTACAAGTTATCGGCAAACGTATTATTTTATTTGTATGGTAAACGTATACTTTATTACGTATAAGGTTGAAAAAAAATAAGCGGAAGTTGAATAATGCACTGTTTTGTTCCATAGAAATTGAAAACAGAATGTAACCTTGTGTCCAATATATAAATATAAAGGATATTAGAACATCAAATTTTATTTTATAAAACACTAGATATTATGAGTAACATACAAAAGATTTCTGAAGTTTCTATCATGGCAAATGTATAAAACTATAAATATAACTTTCAATGTAATATCTTTACACTATCGAGTTTTAAATTAGCATCTTTCATAGCATCTTTCCCTAAAATTAAACAAACAAAAAATTATTTTTTAACTATCGATTCAATAACGGGATATCGCTTTATTTGGGGCACCCTGTATAATTCAATGTTAATTATTTGAATATTATATTTTCTCAAAATCCCGATTTCTGACCTTCAAAGAACAAAACATTACGATGAATATACCTCTATTTAATTAGATGTATTTACTTTAAGCCATAATATAGGGTAATTTAAATGTTTATAATGATAAGTATATCGTTTTTATTGAATTACTTAGCAACATATTAGATATATTAGAGTCGTCTTCGCTCTTATTCTTATGTGAAAACATATACTGTAGTTTCTTTTTAAAAATAGAAACTTAATTATGTCTGTTTAACTTTGCATCGTAATTAAATTTACTTGTAATTAATGTAAAT